CCTCCTCAGAAGTATTTGCTTCTGATTACCCTCTTTCCCAATCTGCCCTCCTCTCTATCACCCCCCTGCTCTCTTGTCCCCTTCTCCCCCTATTTTCCTGTAGGGTAAGACAGATTTCCATACCCAATTGAATGTGTATGTTATTCTCTCCTTAAGCCAAATCCTATGAGAATAAGATTCCCTCATTCCCTCTCACCTTCCCCTGTTTCCCTCCACTGTGAGAGACTTTTCTTTTTTTTTTTTGTGAGATAATTTACCCCATTCTACCTCTCCCTTTCTTCTCCGAGTATCCTCTCTCATCCCTTAATTTTATTCTCCAGATATGACCCCTTAATCTTCAACTCACCCTGTGCCCTCATCTATCTATCTAATATACATACATACAATTTTTTTTCCTTCAACTACCCTAATACTGACAAAGTTCTCATGAGTTACAAATATCATCTTTCCATGCAGGAATGTAAACAGTTCAATCTTAATAAGTCTCTTATGATTTCTCTTTCCTGTTTACCTCTTCATGTTCCACTGAGTCCTGTATTTGAAAGTCAAATTTTCTGTTTAGCTCTGGTCTTTTCATCAGAATGCTTGAAAGTCCTCTATTTCACTGAATGACCATTTTTTCCCCTGAAGGATTATACTCAGTTTTGCTGGGTAGGTGATTCTTGGTTGTAATCCTATCTCCTTTGCCCTCTGGAATATTATATTCCATGCCCTGCGTCCTTTAATGTAGAAGCTGCTAAATCTTGTGTTATCCTGATTGTGTTTCCACAGTACTTGAATTGTTTCCTTCTGGCAGCTTGTAATATTTTCTCCTTGACCTGGGAACTCTGGAATTTGGCTACAATATTCCTAGGAGTTTTCCTTTGGGGATCTCTTTCAGGAGGAGATCTGTGGATTCTTTCAATTTCTATTTTGCCCTCTGGTTCTACTATATCAGGGCAGTTTTCCTTGATAATTTCTTGAAAGATGATGTCTAGGCTCTTTTTTTGATCATGGCTTTCAGATAGTCCAATAATTTTTAAATTCTCTCTCCTGGATCTATTTTCCAGGTCAGTTGTTTTTCCAATGAGATATTTCACATTGTTTTCTAATTTTTCATTCTTTTGGATTTGTTTTACAGTGTTTTGTTTTCTCATAAAGTCACTAAATTCCAATTGCTCTATTCTAATTTTTAAGGAAGTATTTTCTTCAGTAATCTTTTGGACTTCCTTTTCCATTTGGCCAATTTTTCTTTTTAGGGCATTTTTCTCCTCATTGGCTTTTTGGACCTCTTTTGCCATTTGGGTTAGGCTGTTTTTTAAGGTGTTATTTTCTTCAGTATATTTTGGGTCTTCTTTAGCAAGCTGTTGACTTGTTTTTCATGATTTTCTTGCATCACTCTCATTTCTCTTCCCAGTTTTTCCTCTACTTCCCTTACTTGCTTCTCAAAATCCCTTTTGAGCTCTTCCAAGGCCTGGGACTGATTCATATTTTTCTTGGAGGCTTTGGATGTAGGAGCTTTGACTTTGTTGTTTCTTCTGGTTGTATATTTTGATCTTCTTTTTCACCAAAGTAAGATAATATAGTCTGACTCTTTTTGCGCTGCTTGCTCATGATCCCAGCCAATTACTTGAGTTTTAAACTCTTTGTTAAGGTAAGAGTCTGCTTCCAATGTGGAGAGTGTACTGTCCCAAGCTTCAGGGGTTTGTAGCTGTTTTCAGAGATACTTGTAGGGACCTGTAAATTTTCAGTTCTTCCAAGGTGGTATGATAAGGGGGTGTTTACTCCTTTCCTGGCCTGTGACCACAAGTATTCCTTTCTGTCCTGCTGTAGGAGGGGTTCCTCTCCACAGCCACTACAAGCTCCACCATGCCAGCGTCCTCCTCACCCCAGCACTGCCCCCAGAACTGTGACCCAGATCCAACACGGGCAAAGCAAGAGATTCCTGCCTCAGCACTGGCAAAGAGATCCCTGCAGTCCCTCTGTGATCAAGCCACTGGATTCCCCCTCAGTCTGTGGTCCGGAAGCTCGGGAAGCAGCTGTCCCCCCCCCGGGCCAGCTCTTGGGGAATGGAGCTGAAACCCCGCCTTCTCAGACAACAGACTTTTCCCACTGACCTTCTAAGTTGTCTTTGGCATTGTGATTGAGGAGTCTGGAAACCTCCACAGCTGCCCGCGATTCAGTCCTCTGAGGCCTGCTCCAGGTTTGCTGTGGCCTGCACCCACACCATACTGGGCTGCGCTCCCAGCCTGGCCCGACACACCTTTCTGATCGATCATCCAGGTTGTCTTGGGCTGGAAATTTGTTTCACTCTGTCTTTTTGTGGGTTCTGCTGCTTCAGAATTTGTTTAGAGCCATTTTTTATGAGTATTTGGTGGGGTTTGGGGGAGAGCTCAAGCAAGTCACTGCTTCACTCTGCCATCTTGGCTCCACCCCCCCTCAAGGCCTCCTTCTGAAAATTATTATGTTTCCAGCCTTATCCGAATCCCCTTTGTAGGTTCCAGACAAACTGTACTGCTTACTTTTCCTCAAATTCAACTCAACCTCTCCTGCTATTTCTTAGCCTTGCAAGACTCCATCTCTCCCATCTCTATTTGTTGAAATTCCTGACAGACCCCTATCCTAAAGACCCAGGTTAAAGTCACCTCTACCTCTAAGCCCTCCCAGATTCCCCACAGTTAAGATTTGTGGGAATTATAATTGCCCAATCTGCAAGAAAAACCACTGAGGCAGAGCTCTGAGACAAATGGCACTTTATTAAAGAATCCATTCTAATGAAGCACAGCTCAGATCTTCCTCATGATCTGGGAAGACCACTTCCTCCAGAGCCTCAGTTTTATAGTTCTTGATACCTGGCCAATACAGGTGAAGCAGACCAAAACTACAGAATCTCCTTGGTTGACAGACCTTGCCCTTGGCCTTCTTTGAGGGTCTGCACAAAATACAGAATCTCACTGGCTGACAAATGGGCTAGTGAGCAGACCGTAACAGACCTATCCTGACCTTTCAAAAGGTCTACCGAGCCAAAATACAGATTCATGGGGTTAGGCTGATAAGTGGATATCAAAACATCTGCATGGGCCGATGAGCTGGTAGAAGGGCAGACCACAGTCTGGCAACCAAGGTAACTCATTGGTTCCAGGTTCATGGTCATCCCCTTATTTTGGGCAATACAGGGATAACAAGAGATGGAAGGGACTTCACGCAATTGAGTCATCTGTGTCACTCTGGGCTTGGCCACCATAACAAGGAAAAACAATGTTGGAGGCCCTCTGGTTAGCTTCCTATGATTGAGCCAGTGAACTTACAATCTGTAGCTCACAGCTCTGAGGCTTACTATCAGAATTTATAGTTACTACCCCTATGGAATCATATCAAATTGATTAATGCTGATTGGAATAAAACAGGGATCCAATAAATCACCTGTCACAGGTTTCTTGCTTGGAGCTCAAGCAACATTTTGTTTGTATCACTTTTGTCCCTCCAGTGCTTATCCCTGGCTGCCCTCTCCAGTGTGGATTGCTCCTTCCCCACACAGGGGCCACAAAGGGCTGTTGGCTTGCCCTTGCTCCCCACTGATATTTACAGATCCCTGTCTGTGACCCCCACACTCTATGGTCTTCTGTCCCTTGAGATCCACTGTGGCCATCTCTATCACCCTTGGCCCCTCTCTCTTCTCAGGCTTTCAGTACCTGGATCACGGTAGCCTTCTCCATTGCCAATCTAGCCCTTAAGCTTGCAGACTATGGTACGCATGAATGTCCCCTTGAACAGCCTGGCTTCCCTGTCCATTAATCTCATGACCCAAGAGTCCACGTCAGTCACCCAATGAGATGAACAAAGCTTAGATCTCAAGGTCACAGAGAATGATAAACCTGGAATAGATTGTAGCATAAACCAATGCCGAATTGCTGAGATAGCAGATACACTGACATTTTGAAACATAAGATCTGAGGCGAGATTGAGGAAGGCATAGTCTGCAAAGGCTGCCTTTTATAGAGGAATGAACAAGCATCTTGGAGTCTGGAAAGACCTGGGGTTTGAATCCCACCCGCCACCTCCTCCTCTTACTTGACTTAAGTAAATTTAACTTCTCAGAATCTCATCTCAACTGGAAAAATGTTACCTATAACACCAACTTCAGTGTGTTTTCATGAGGATCAAAGAAGGTAGTGCAAATAGTACATTTTACAAGTCACATAATACTTCATAAATGTCAGCTATTATTATCATGATTTTTACAGGACATATACCCGGAGTCGGGAAGACCTGAGTTCAAATCTGACCTTAGACCCTTCCTAGCTGGGTGATCCTAGGCAAATTACTTAACTCTGTCTTAAAATGAGGACAGATATCACCTATCCCTGCCCCCCCCCCCTTGTTGCGAGCAGCAAATGAAGTAATATACATCAAACACTTTGCAAATCTTAAAGCATTATGTAAATGTTAGCTAATCCTGCTTTTGCTGTTACTGTGGTAGGCAGGTCAGATAAGCAGATTGCAGCTTGATCCTGGAAAAGGTTTCCTAACATTTTCTGCTGTTAATGGGGTAATGGGCTACTCCTCCCCCTCCCAGACAGGCAGCCACTCCCCGGGAGCAAAGGTCTTTAGGCTGCTTTCAGGAACATTCTAGAGGAGATTTCTGGTCAGATCCAGATTGCACCACCAGCCTCTCCAAGCCCCCTTCCAACTCCGAGATTGTAGAACTCTCTCACAGCCCCCTCCTCACTTTATCTGAAACCCTTTGGGGGCTCTGGCCGGACCTCCCACTTATTCCCTCTACTGGCATCCCTGCAACCCTCTGCACCACTGCAGGTTCTCAGAGAGTGCCTGGTGGTGCACTGGCTCTAGCCGTGCTCCGGTCCAAACTGACCCCAAAAGAACCGGGGGAGGGCTGCGTGGTACAGAGTGAGGCAGGGGGTGCAGTCTTCTCAGGGCCCACTTGCCTGTTGGGCTTTCAGTGGGTGAATTCTCCGCTGGGAGTCTGGGACTATTCTCTCCTCTTTTTGTTAATCTCACAGCCGGCCTTGCTTGGACTGTGCCCGTGGGCAACTCAAATAACCCTCCGTCTGGGCGGGGACTCAGCCTAGTAGCCTTGGCTGCTGGACAGGGGAACTGCCAGGAAGGAGGAGGAGGAAGAGGAAGAGCAGCAGCACCAGCACCGGCACCAGCAGCACCAACATGGGAAAGAAATCTCTGTGCCTGCTGATTTCTTGCGCCCTTCTTTCCTACTTCGTGTACACTCCTCTCCCAGATAATATCGAACAACCATGGAAACTGATGATTACCTGGGCTGTCATTAGGTGTGGGGCGTCCCTGGTAAGTGGAGAATTTGATTGACTCTGGGTGTTAGAGTGAGATGCTGCCAGGAAGGAAGCTGGAAACACTTCCCAGGGACCTGGGGCTCTTATGTTTGCCAGTGTTAAAATATTTCCTTTTTTGCTTTTTAAGTAGAATATTTCAGAACGATCACACTTGAGATTCCTATCCAAGATAGACAATTTAGTGCAGAGGCTCCCAAACTCATTTGGCCTATGACCCCCTTAAAAAAAAAAGGACTCAGCGCTCCCCCGGAAATCTTTAATCCTTTAATGGTTCTTTTTTTAAAATGTTCATCATTTAAAAAATATATGTATATATAATATATATTTTAAAATGGCACGTATTAAATTTAATAATTTATTGTAAATTTGTGGGGGATTTTCCCTGCATTGAAATTTTGATGACACAGTATTTCATCATGTAACCATATAGTATCGTTACAGGTCATTCATTACATGCACACATTCCTGCCCATTACACTCTGTTCTTCCCGACACTGCGCCACATGCTCACCTGCCAACACTTGCTTCTTCAGATCTGTCGGACTTGACAACTGGTCACTTATAACTTGCATTTTGTGTGTTTATTTGGAAAATAATGTAATTACTATGACTTTAACTCTGCTATACACAAGAGATAAAACATGGACAAACTGTTCACGGTTTTTCAAAATTCTCTTCTTTCCTTCTGCCCCTTTATTTTACCCCCTTTATTTCTGTATCTCCTTTATTATTATTGCCCACTTGCTTTTGTTCAATGCCCCCCAGTTGCACCTGAGGATACTACTGCCCTCTCCATTGTTCCAGCACCTTGCAGGGGGTGATATCGCCCACTTTGGGAACTCCTGTGTAGTTATATAATTACGAATGGTTTTCTTATCTTGTCCAGAACCAAGCCTCTACCTCTCTTCCTGGCTACCAGCTCCAGCAGTGGTGCCCAACATGCCTTCTCTCTTCTTTATAGTCTTCCCTTCTCCAGTCACCTTTTATATGTTTTCTTTACTCTTTAAAATGGTAAGCTCCTTGAGGGCAGGAATTGTCTTCATTGCTTGCAATATATCCCCGGTGTTTAGCACAGGGTCTGGTATACAGCAAGCAATTAATAAATGCTCAGTCTGTTCTTCTGTCTGTCCTGTCTGCCTGCCAGTCTGTCTATTTTTCTTCCTGTCTATCTGTCCCTTTCTCTCTCTAAACATCTACTTTATCTGTCTGCCCATCACTTAACCATCAGAGGAAGACTTTCATGATCCCCTTCATCACTTGTGCTCTTTCCCTCCTCAAACTCCCTTGTTCACATTTTCATACTTTGATTTGCATACATTGTTTCCTCCTGATCAAACTTTTTAGTTCCTTAAGGGCAAGAACCCATTAATTTTTGTCTTTAGATCTCTTATGCCTAGAAACTTGTCCTGCCGTAATAGGCATTGAGCACTAGCTTGTTGGGGTGTGGAAATGTTGGTGGAGTAGATTATACTTGATAGCAGATGCCTTTTTCTGGTCTTAGGTATCACCTAAAGTTGATATGGAGACAGTTGAGTGGCTCAGAGGGTAGAGTGTGGGGCCTGGATTAAAAAAGACCTGAACTCAAATCTGGTCTCAGACACTAACTAGCTGGGTGACCCTGGGCAAGCCACTTCACCCTGTTCCCCTCAGTTTCTTTATCTGTAAAATGAACTAGAGAAGGAAATGGCAAACCATTTCAGTATCTTTGCCAATAAAACCCTAAATGGAATAATGGAGAATCAGACATGGCCAAAACGACTGTACAACAACAGTTGACACTCCTTATCAGATGCTGGATTTAGTGAAACTGAGCAGGGCTATGCCCCACCCACTTCACACTAAGCAATGACCTTGGATCACAGGCAGTTACCCAACAAGGAATTATTGACTGCTTAATAGGTTTGAGACTCAATACTACTCATTAGCAAAGAAAGGCAATAACAGTCCATGCCCTTATGAAGCGTATAATCAAAAAGAGGAGGCAACATGCAAACAACTATGTTCATAGAAGATAGAAGATAGTCAAAGGAAGATAAGTCCAAGGGGAAGACTCTAGCCTCCTCTATGGAGGGATAGGGAAGGGAGAATGGAGAGGGCCTCCTAAAGAAGGTGGCATTTGGGCTACATCTTCAAGCCATCCAGGGACTCAGAGAAGCAGAGGAGATAAAAGAGGACATTCTGGAAATGGGGACAAGCCTGTGCAAAGGCATAAATATGGTAGACAGAGTTTTGTAGGAAAAGAACAAGGAGAAGATCAACCAAGCTGGATTACAGATTGTGTGAAGGGCTGTAAAGACTGAAAAGGAGGCAGAGGTCAGGTTGTGAAGAGTTGTACATGCCAAAGGCCTTTATATTTGATCCCATAGTAACAGGGGGTAGCTGAAGTTTGTTGAACAGGGGAAAGGACATGCTCAGAAAATTACGTCATTGGGATGTTTACTTAATTTATGAAAATTTGGCAACAATAGGAGGTAGATTGGATACATGAGAGACTGGAGGCAGGGAAGAGAAGGAGATGTATGCTAAAGAGGTTTTGAGGGTAAAATAGCAAGACTTGGCAATGGATTATATAAGTAGGTTGAATGAGAATGAGGAATTGAGGATGCCATGGAAATTGCAAGCCCTAAGTGACTGGCAAGATGATTGCTCAGTAATGTGGAAGTTCAGAAGAAGGTAGTTTTTGTTTTGGGTTCGAGGTGGGGACAATGTGTTCTGTTTTGAACAAGTTGTGTTTGAGATGTTTATGGGATACTGAGTTTGAAATATCTAAAAGGTGATTGGTGACAAGCGACTGCAACTCAGTTGAGAAACTAGGACTGGAGATAGAAATCTGGGAATTATCTGTCCAGAAATAATCATTAAGTCCATTGGGACTGATACGATCATCAAGTGAGGCAATATCCTGAGAGGGAAGAGGAGAGGACCTCAAAAGAAACCAAGAATTAACAGTTATGACAGGGACGAAGAACCAGCGAAGGAGACTGAGGAAGATTGTACAGGGAGATGTACAACCAGAAGAGAATTGTTCATGAAAACTCTCCAGGAGACAGTATCCAGGAACTGGTGATAACAGTGTCAGGTACTGAAGGGACATCAAGAAGGATGAGCACTGAGAAAAGGCCAGGAGGGTTTGGCAGCTTAGAGATCATTGCTAAGTTTGGAAAGGGCAATTTCATTTGAATGATGAAGGTAGAAGCCAATTTGCAGAGGGCTTAGAAGAGAGGAAGAGGACAAGAAGAAGAGAAATTGAATATGGATGGATTTTTTTCCCTTTCTGTTTAAAAAATATTCCAAAGAACATCAAATAAAATGAAATTTCGATTTACCAAAGTAGACTAGACACGAAGGACCGTACATAAAACTGTAAATATTTGTTATGTACCTCTTGCTTTTCTTTTTAAATATCTGGCTCTCCCTAGCTCCTCTCTCCTTCCCAAAAGACCCTAATTAAAAAAAAAAATCAAGTGGCAATAGTCAAGCAAAACCAATTCCTCCAGTGGGCATTGCTCTAAATGTTTTTCTTATTCTGCATCAGGGCTCCATCTGCTTTTTCTCTTAGCAGATGTGCAGCATACTTGAACCATGGTCTTCTGGAATCCAAGTTCGTAAGTCTCTCTAAGCTGTTGTTCCTTACAGAGGCATCGTCTTTGTATACACTATTCTCCTGGTTCTGCTCACTTCACTTTGCACCAGTCCATACAGGTCTTCCCAGGTTTCCTTGAAACCAGCGCTTTCATCATTGCTTGAAGAATATTCCATTCCATTCATATGCTACCATTTGTTCAGCCATTCCCCAATAGATGGGCACTCTCTAACCATCTAACTCTTTTCTTTTAATCTTCCTTCCATGATCAGGATGTTTGATTTGCTCCTAGTAATTTCTGTTGAATAGTGAGTTCTCACCCCAGCAGCTAGGCTTTTTGGGGTTTTCCAATATAAAGCAACCAGATTCATTTGCTTCTCTATGTTGAATACCTAATCTGTTCCACTGATCGACCCATCTCTCTTTTTTTTAACCAGTACCAAATCATTCTGGTGATTTCTACTTTGTAGTATAGTTTGAGCTCTAGCCTTCTTCCTTTCCACTTTATTCTCATTATTTTCCTTAATATCCTGGTCCTCCAGATGAATTTTATTATTATTTTTAGCTCTATAAATATAAATATATTATTTTAGCTCTATAAAGTAATTCTTTGGTAGTTTGCTTATTATGATATTGAACTAGTAAATTAATTTAAATAGCATTATCATTTTTATTATATTGGTATGGCCCAAATATGCAAAATTAATATTTCTCCAACTATTTAGGTCTGACTTTATTTCTGTGGAGTGTTTTATAGTTATATTCAAATAGTTTCTCTGTGTCTTTCTGATATACTTCTAAATACTTTTTCTATCTGTATTTACTCTAAGTGGAATTTCTTTTTCTCTCTCTTCCTTCTAATGCTATACTGGGATGCTAATGATTCATGTGGAATAATCTGACTTCCTGCAACTTTGCCAAGTTTATTCTTTCAATTATTTTTTACTTAACTCTTGAGACTTCTTTAAGTACATCACGTCATCTACAAAAGATGATTTTCCTTCCTCTATAGCTATGTGTATTCTCTTGATTTTTTTCTTGTGCTATTGCTGTAAAGCTGCAACTTCGCACACTATGTTAAGTGATAATGATGGTGATGAATATGCTTGCTTTCTTCCTGACCTTAACGGAAAGGCTGTTCATTTTTGCCCTTTCCATGAAATGTAGGCTCTTCACTTTCAATAGATATATTTACCATAACAAGGAAAGATCAATTTTATATATTGCTATGCTTTCTAGTATTTCGAACAGAAACTGGTATTGGATTTTGTCAAAAGCTTTTTTTTTTGCATACAGATGACTTTTTTAAGGCATTTAGCTGAGGAGTCACATGTGCAAAGACATGACTGTTCCTTGATTACCTAGGACTCATGGGCAACTATCAATGGCATCATTTGAAAAAAAAAATGATGTTAGTGTAGTTTTATGGGAAAAGTGCTAGATTCATAGTCAGAGCTGGCCCTGAATTGCAAATCTGCCACTTAGTTGCCCACACACAGCAATGGTCCCCCACGTGGGACCACCCACAAGTTCCTGGGCCTTATTTTTTTATGCTACAAAATGGAGATAGTAAGAGATTCTTTCCATAGTCCCATAATCAGAAGAAAACTACTTTGCAACCTTTCCAGCATATTGAAATGTGGGTTATCATTAACATAATCAATTAAATTAACAGAATAATGTCATGAATAATAGCTGCAGCCCTTCTAGTCTGCTTCTAGCCCCTGGCTTTCCTTGACTTATCCAAAATGTTGGTGTGCTCTCTTGGGAACAAAGGCCACCTTTGCCTCCTAAACTCAATGACAAACCCTCAAGCCAGCCTTCATGATTGTGTAAAGGTGAGTAGACTGAAAAAGGATAGAAATTAGGAAGATTGGAAAAATCGTGGAAGGCCTTAAATGCCAGGCTGAAGATTTTGTACTTTTTCATATGATTCACAGGGAGATGCCAAAGGATTTGAGAGAAGGAGTGACATGGTAAGACTTGTATATCAGGACCAAGACAGAGAAAACAATTCAGTTCATTTCAATTAATCAGAAGCCAATAAACAATACACATTCGGGCCAGACATAACCCAGAGGCACCTGTAGATCATCTCTATCTGTAAACGACAGGTTACACACAAAAGAACTTAGAAAAAAGAAAAAAACTATCAATCCATTTGGCAGTTTGGTTTCAAGAAGAAAATGAAATTATGAAATTGAGAGATTTGGTAAGGGCTGAGACTGAATTTTAGAAATTTTAATGATCATTCTATCAACCATTTCTGTCATTTTATTTCACCCTTTCAAAATGGATTTTGGTAGATGTGTGTTGTCCAAAACCAGGTAAGAAGGTAGTGTGTAGGGGATTCATGCCACTAAGCAGAGGCTTATGGAAAGCACGGTCAGAGGTCAGGAACCCAGATAATAGAAGGAGACAGAGCAAAGATCAATACTGGCTTTCTAGATTAGTAACAAGCCAGGATCGGGACATCAGGGAATTGAGCCAGATGTTGGGCTACCTGTAGTTACAGTAGTTAGGAATATACCATCTAGGGAGTCAACCAAGGCGTAAATCTGGAAAGAGGCCCCAGAGGTAAGGACAGAAGAGGACTCCCAAATTTATATTTCTCACCCTAATCCCTCTCCTGGCTTTGTACTGCCTTCCCCACTCCTCTTCTCCACCTGGATGCCTATCACCAATGTTCATTTTGTACTCCAAACACAACATTCTCAAAATGCAGCCCATCAGTTTTTCCTTCTGAACACGTGAGACATTGTTGGCTCTTTTTTCTCCCTTAAGTCTGTGTCCTATCAATTGCCACTCCATTGTTGATTATATCTCAATGATGTCTCTTAAATTAATCCTTCTTTTCTTTACTCATGGAATCATGGCCCAAATTCAGGTCTTTTTTACCTCCAGATGGTTGTCGGGGTCTCCTAGCTTGACTCTCTTCTTTCCTCCTTCCTCATCGATGTTGAAATAGTCTTTTCAAAGCCTAGGCCTTGTCATGTCAGCCCTCTGCTCAAAAATTTTCGGTGTTTTCCTTGTTTCTCTAAGATAAAATACAAATTAGCTTTTTGAGGTCATCCACAGTCTGACTTCATCAGACTTTTTCAGCCTTATTACATAAGACTTGCCTTTAGGCACTCTCAATTCCAGTCAAACTGGATTACCACTAGATGCCCCTAGAACTTGGCGTTCCATCTGGGACATGCCATTTGCAGATACCATCCTTCATGCTTATAGTGATTGCTTGCCTCGACTTTGCCTTTTGAAACTCTTACCCTTCCAAGGTTCTGCTTATGTGCCATTTCTTCCTTAAAGCTTCCTAGATGTCCATCCATAATCCTTCCAACCCAATTGTTCTCCCTCCTCAAATTCCTTTGCATTCACTTATCTCCATACACACACTATCCACTGGTAGAATGTAGGCCCCTTGAGTTTGCAGATTATTTTATTTTATTCTTTGCATTTTCTGTGGCTAGCATGGTTTCTTACACAGTGCTTAATAATTGTTTGTTAAATTGAATTGGAACCTTGATCATTTGGTTGGACTCATCAAGAGGACCAGTATTCAGAACCCAGGGCCAGGCCAAGGCAAAGGTTATCTGCTTTAGGTGTTCCATACTTATTTACTGTTAAAGGAGAAAAAGGCCCTGGAACAAGGTTAGGCCTGATGACTTGTAGAGTGAAGTAGCTTAAAAGGCTGGAGAAAAGGATGATGGATGTTTGGAAGGTGAATTCTGGCTATGGGAACTTCACTGACACCATAAGTAGGTTATGGAACTCAGTGGAAATTCTGTCATGGGATGAGATGTGTGTGTGTGTGTGTGTGTGTGTGTGTGTGTGTGTGTGTGCACATGCATGTGTATGCACACATACAAATACGAAAGTTAATTTAAGCTCAGATACAGAACTGAGGGTAACAACCCAAGGAGCCATGTTAATCCTGGAAGCTACCAAGACAGAAAGGACATCAGCTAATACAATTCCAGAGTGCTGACATCAGGTAATCAATCATCGATGACATTTCATTTACTAGGCACCTACTATGTGCCAGGTACTGTGCTAAGTGCTGGGGATGCAAGAAAAGGCCATCCTCAAGGATTTCCCCATTTTAATGTTGGGGTCTTCAGCTAAACAATTAGATAGAGACAAGATACAAACCTAGTAGATAGATGAGGGGAGGGAGTAATCTCATAACAGAAAGCATCAGAGGACCCAGCTGGGCTTATTTCTTTCTTTTTTGTTCCGGTCAAAAATTTAATGCACTTAGTTGCTGCTTATCTTGAGCAGCTGTGGCATCATCGTGCCTGTCTTTTCTTCTAGTTTGGCAAATACTTTAGATAAAAGAACTGTAACCCTTCTGGGATTGCCAAGGCATATTCAGCTGTTCAGCTAAAATCCTGCTAGTGTGTTTGGTTGTGGATATACTGCTGGCCTTGGCATCAGGAAGACATGGGTCTAGATCTCATCCTTGAGACTTAATGGCTATGTGTCTGCCAGGTAAGTCATGTAACCTCAATGAGCCTCCAACTTCTTGCCTATTAAATGAGGAGTAATAATAGCACTGACCACCCAGAATCATTGTGAGGGTCAGATGCAATAACATATATAAAACACTCTGAATACGTGAAAGTTCTACAATGTAGCTATTGTCAGTGGCCTTTTAGGGTACAGTAGTAATAGGGAGGCATACTCTTGTATGTGAACAGAATTCACAACTGTACTTTTCATTGTGTTTCTTGAATGTCAGTCAGGGATTTTGGAGATACTGGGATTTCCACCTTATGCAGTTGGGTACTTCTTCCAAGTACCACCGACATCAGATGCAAATGTCACAGTGACAGATACTCTGTTCAATAAAGTTCCAGTTCGAGTCTTTGAGCCAAAGCAAAAATCATCTACAATGAGAAGAGCCGTGTTTTATATTCATGGTGGTGGCTGGACCGCAGGAGATGCTCGTAAGTACTTTTCTCAGGGAACTGAATCTGGGACAGGCTGACACATTTCAGTCCATCTTTGACATTAATCAGAGTATTTTGTAGTTAAGAGGTAATAGGACAGAGCCAAACTGAGCGGAGGGGAGATGAGAGGAAAGAGGAGGGGAGACCAGGAGGAGAGAGGAGGACAGGGGAGGAGAAAAGAAAGAAGGGGAGGACAGGGGCTGAGGAGAGGAAGGAGGAGGGGCGGACAGGATGCAACTAGTTACTCAAAGCTTCCCAGGCTTTGATGGGGTTTAACCAGAATGCTATTTGATTAATTTACAAGGTAGAGATAACCAGTGTTGGTCATTTGCAGAGGACACTAGCTTCTAACAGGCATGTACACTGAGCATATACCAAATCACTGATTATGTTTCTTTGGTGAATACACAATTAGAATAAAACGATGGTCTTTTAGATCCTTAAAGGTAGCTGGCAACACAGTGTATAGAGGACTGGACCTGGAGTCAGGAATCCCCCCTCTGACACTTACTTGCTCTGTGACCCTGGGCAAGTCACTTAAGCTCCATCTGCCTTCATTTCCTCAACTGTAAAATGGGGATGATAATAGCAACTACCTCCCAGGGTTGTTGTGAGGATCAAATGAGACAATTTTTGTAAAGAATTCAGCACACTGTCTGGCACACAGTAGGTGTTAGAATAAATATCAACAAATGCTTATTCTCCTCCCTGTACCCTCCCTTCTGCTTTACATGTATAGATAAGATAACTGTTTTTTCTGGATTTGTGAATTCATCGCTGTGGGCAATCCTTGTTGTGGAAATGTAAATGTAAACCACCAACTCTTCTGTAACATGTAACAGTAGAGAGTGGCCTAGGGGCTCTTGGGAGATTGAGTGAAACTGGGTCTTCCTGACTCTAAGGCTTGTTCCCTTTATAAAATGTCCACAGAGGAGCAGGGACCCTGTTCATGGTTCTAGGGTTACAAGAGTGCCTATGGGATACCTGGCCCCCCTGGTGCTGGAGGGAAAGATTGGAGTCAGAAGACCTTCGTTCAAAGTCTGGCTGTGCCATTTACTTCCTCTGTGACCCTGAGCAGTTACTTTTTATGAGCCTCAGTTTCCTCATCTGTAAAAAAGAGGGGAGTGGACATGATGGCCTCAGAGGACCTTTCCAGTTACAGACCTAGAATTCTGTGATTGGAACCCTTTTCCCTGAACAGTGCTAAGAACACACCAGTAGGAGGGGTGCCAAGATGATGAAGTAAAGGCACAAACTTACCTACGCTCTCTCTTTAGCCCCTCCAAATACCTTTAAATAAGAAACAAGTTCTAGAGCTGCAGAACACACAAAAAAGATGGAATGAAACAATTTTTCATCCCAAAACAACTTAGAAGGCTGGCAGGAAAGTTCTGTTGCATCAAGATGAGAGTGGAGTGCAATCCAGGGCAGGCACACCAGTGCAGGCTGGCCCTCAAACCAGGAGCAGGCCTTGGGGGCAACTGAATCAGTGGCATGGAAGTAGTGGTGGCTTCCAGACCTCTCGGTCCACAGATGATAATGGCATCAGATAACAAGTCAGAAGGAGATTACAAGGGTCCAGGGGCAGGACTCTGTTACATTGCTTATACTTGGATCTGGGTGGCAGTTCTGGGTCTCAGTCCCAGTATGAGGGGGAGCACTAGTACAGCAGAACTGGTGACCACAGAGGAGCAGGGACTCTGTTCATGGTTCTAGGGTTAAAAGAGTGCCTGTGGTAGCTCACAAACCAGTCCACGGTACAGAAGAGTAGTAAATACATGTCTCCCTAGATCATACCACCTAGGAAGAATCAAAAACTTATGGTCCCCAGAATTACCTTTGAAAACAGTTGTACAAAAATACCTGAAGATTGGGACAGTTTGCCCTGCACTTGGGAAGCACAGCCTTCCTTTAGCATAGAGTTAAAAGTCAAGAAATAGATTGGAAAATGAGCAAACAACAGAAAAAATTCTGACCATAGAAAGTCACTATGGTGACAAGGAAGATCAAAATACACACTGAGAGGAAGACAACAAAGTCAAAATTCCTACATCCAAGGCCTCAAAGAAAAATATGAATTAGTCTCAGACCTCGGAAGAGCTCAAGAAGGATTTTAAAAATTAAGTAAGAGAGGTAGAGGAAAAGTTGGGACGAAAAATGAGAGTGATGCAAGAAAATAATGAAAAAAGAGTCAACAGCTTGGTTGAGGCACAAAAAATACTGAAGAAAATAACGCCTTACAAAACAGAATAGGCCAAATGGTAAAAGAGGCACAAAAATCTAATGAAGAGAAGAATGCCTTGAAAAGCAGAACTGGCCAAATGGAAAAAAAGACATACACAAATTCACTGAAGAGGAGGACTTCTTAAAAAGTAGAATTGGCCAAATGGAAAAGGAAGTACAAAAGCTCACTGAAGAAAATAAATTCCTTAAAAGTTAGAACTGGATAAATGGAAACTAATGACTTTATGAGACATCAAGAAACAATAAAAAAAGAATGAAAAAATAGAAGAAAATGTGAAGTATATCATTGGAAAAACAACTGATCTGGAAAATAGATCCAGGAGAGATAATTTAAGCATTATTGTCATGATCAAAAGTCATGATCAAAAAAAGAGTCTAGGCATCATCTTTCAAGAAATTATCAAGAAAAACTGCCCTGATATTCTAGAACCAGAGGGTAAAATACAAATTGAATGAATCCACCAATCACCTCCTGAAAGAGAACCAAAATGAAAACCCCCAGGAATATTATAGCCAAATCCCAGGCCTCCCCAGATCAAGGTGAAAATAATGCAAGAAGCCAAAAAGAAACCATTCAAATATTGTGGAGCCACCATCAAGATAACATAATATTTAGCAGTTTCTATATTAAAGGATCAGAGGGCTTGAAGTATGACTTCCTGGAGGGCAAAAGAGCTTGGATTGCAACCAAGAATCACCTACTCTGAAAAACTGAACATAATTTTTCAGGGGAAAAAGAGATATTCAATGAAATAGAGGACTTTGAAGCATTCCCAATGAAAAGAGCAGAGCTGAATAGAAAATTTGACTTTCAAATACAAGATCCAAAAGAAGCAGAAAAAGGTAAATAGAAAAGAAAAATCAAAAGGGATTAGATAATGTTAAATTGTTTATATCCTACATGGGCAAATAGTATTTATAACTCCTAAAACCTTTCTCATTATTAGGGCAATTAGAAGAAAGATGAATAGGCAAAAAGCTGGGTGTAAGTTGAATGTGATGATATGCTTACCTAAAAAAATTAAGGGATGAGAAAGAAAAATGCACTAGGAGAAAGGGAAACATAGCAGTAGGATGGGATAAATTATCTGACAGAAAAGAGGCCTGAAAGAGATTTTACAGTGGAGGGGAAAATGGGGGAAGCATGGAGGGGAGCACATGAACCTTACTCTCATCAGACTTGGCTCAAAGAAGGAATAACATACGCATTCAAGTGGGTGTAGAAATCTATCTTACAATACAGGAAAGTAGGAAGGGAAGGGGATAGAGAAGAGGGGAGAGCTGATAGAAGGTAGAGCAGTTTGGGGTAGGTAAAAGTCAGAAGCAAAATACTTTTGAGAATGGACAGGGTAAAATGGGAGAGAGAATAGGATAAACAGGGGAAATAGGATGGAGAGAAATATATATTTGGTAATCATTACTGTGAAAAAAAATTTTACAGTGAGTTTCCTTAATAAAGACTTCATTTCCCAAACATACAGAAAACTGAGTCAAATTTATAGAAATAGGAGCTATTTCTCAACTAATAAATGGTCAAAGGATATGAACAGGCAGTTTTCAGACAAAGTAATCATATAAAATTCTCTAAGTCACTATTGATGAGTGAAATGAAAATTAAAACATCTCTGAGCTACTACTTCACGCCTGTCAGATTAACTATTATGACAGACAAGAAAGATGACAAATACTGGAGGAGATGTGGGAAAATTAAAACACTAATGTACTATTGGTGAAGTTGTATTCTGATTCCACCATTCTGGAGAGCAATTTGGAACTATGCCCAAGGGGCTATCACTACTAGGTCTATATCTCAAAGAGATAAAAAGCAAAAAGGAAAAGGATCTAGATGTGCAAAAATATTTAAAGCAGCTCTTTCAGTGGTTGCAAAGAATTGGAAATTGATGCCCATCAGTTGGGGAATGGCTGAACAAGTTGTTGTATATGATTGTGATGGCATACTATTGTGCTGTAAGGAATGATGAGCAGGGTATTCTCAGAAAAACATGGAATGATTTACATGAACTGATGCAAAGGGAAGTGAGCAGAACCAGGAGAACATTGTACAGAGTAACAGCAATATTGGATGAGGCTCTACTGTGAATGACTTAGCTGTTTTCAGCAATATAGTGATCCAAGACAATTCTGTAGGCCTTATGATGAAAAGTGCTGTCAATCTCCAGAGAAAGGTGGTAGAAAGAAAGAAGTGGTAGGCCTGAATACAGATCAAAGATACTTTTTCTTTACTTTCTTTCTTTTTCTTTTTTTTTGTCTGTATTTTCTTTCACAGAATGACTTACATGGAAATTTTTTTTGTATGACTACACATGTATAACCTATATTAAATTGCTTGCTTTCTCAATGGGGTGGGGGGGAGAAGAGAATTTGGAACTCAAAATCTGAAAAAAAGAATTAAAAAAATTTTTTTACATGTAATTGTAAAAAAGTAAATATTAAATGTGCTTTTAAAAAAGAACAAAATACCAACACCATGTGTACATTCTAAGGACACACCAACAGTGTGTGTACACTCTGAGGACATATCAACACTGTGTGTACATTCTAAAGACATGCCAACAGTGTGTGTACGTTCTAAGGACGTGCCAACTGCATGCGTACACTCTAAGGACACACCAAAGGCATGCGTACACTCTAAGGACACACCAACAGCATGTGTACCTTCTGCTCTTCTTTCTCTATACTCTACAGATATACAGTTTTAGAGTCAGAGATCTCAGCCTGAAGAACCCTCTAAGCCTGACATCACAAAGCAGCCCAGCTGTGTTTCCAGTGCATCCCATCAGTCTCCATTGAAGTCCACATCCACAAACCTGGCCCATGTTGCAACCCAACTGTCAGGCACCAACTTGCATTAGCAAGGATTCTGACTGCAAGTTAAAAGGAAGCTTTATCAGAAGAAAAGAGAGGGACAAAATTTTAGATCTTGTAGCAGTGCCCCCCGAAGCCTCCTGGGACCACCCAGCGAATCATTCCTAGTTTTGCGGCCTTAGCATGAGGGGTCCTTTCAGACCTGGCCCCTCTGCTGATTCTCCCCAAGGATCCACAGAATCAGAGAGGTGAAATGGCCCTAGTGGCCATCTGGGCCAACCTCTGAGTGAATGGAATCCCTGCATGGGCATTTCTGACCTGTGGTTGTCCAGCCTCAGCTTGGAGACCTCCTTGGAGGGACAGCCCTCCCCTCCAGGGCAGCCCATTCGGCTGGGTTAACTGTCATGAAGAGGATGACTTTTTCTTGACATTGTGCCTAATTTGGCCTCTTTGAGACTTTTACTTACTGTTTTTGGTTTTGCCCTCTCATAACAATAGCTCTTCAGGTATTTGAACAATGCTATACTATTCCTTCATAAATCTTTGCTTCTCTGGGCCTCCCTTTTCTCGCTGCACAATGGGAGGATTGCGCTCAAAGACCTGTAATACTCCTCCAAACTCTGAGTTTAAGATCCCAAGGTGAAGGCCTATACTTGTATTCAGGAGACTTGGGTTCAAATCCCAGTTCAGATACTAGAAACTGTATTATTACAAGCAAGCTGCTTAATGTTTCCAAGCCCAAGCTTTCTATCTGTAAAATAAGGACAATAATATCTGCTTTACTAACCTCACCAGCTTGTAGGAATAAAGCAAGGTGTATAGACTATAAGTCACTATAGAAATATGAATGATCATACCACTTGAAAAAATAATAGGGAGAAAAAAAAGACAAAAAGAATAAGGAGCTTATAACTTGAAAGTTGATTGGCTCTCCCTATTTGAGTCAGTGGATCTATGATTGTGTTGGTATGGGGAGACCCAGTGATGAAACCTTCTCTACCAACAGAGACTGGTACCTGCTCTGTTCTGTGAATGTGAAGTCTTAGAATTTCCTGGGGATACTTGGTTAAATAACTTACCCACGGTCACACAGTCAGTATGTGTCAGAGAGAGTATTTGAACTCAGGTCTTCCTGAGTCTGAGGGTAATTCTCTAGGCGCTATTAGGCCATCCTGCCTCTAGTTAGGTCTGCATTCTATCTTTATTTTATCCCATTATATCTTTGTAATTTCCCATTATATTTTTAAAGCACCCACATATCTAATTTTCAGAAAACAAAGCAAAGGAATGGCTTGTGTCATGTGAATGGGTTGTATGAGTCATGGAAGTTACCTTCTCTGAAGAATTCAAAATGAATATCCCTCAGAAAGGCACATGGTGGGTAGGAGCTGGCTATAATAAGTCACAAAGTAGGGATTATGAAGAGAACCTAGGATAAAGGATGTCATCAAAGAAATGTGGAATGAGAAAAGATGGGCTGGTGCCATGGCAAGGGCAAAGCTTACTGGAGAGCCCTTGTGTTCTGCTGCCGTCCTCAAGATGCCTCTGGCGCACTGTCTGGCTCCTAGTGATGAATTTATGGAAGGACTTAGGGAAGCATTTTCCAGGATGAGCTCACTTGGATGGGTGGCAAATAGCATTGTTGAAGGGGATATCCCTTGAAAGGGATAGCATGGAGATGGCAGACCTTCTTTAGTACTTGAGCATCTCCAACAGGTGGTACAATACGTTGTTGATGGGTAGTGCAGTGGTGAGAGTGTTGGTCCTGAGTCAGGAAAGCCTACCTCTTCCTTCAGAGGGGTATGTGACAGCTAACTTCGGATATTTGATGGGATCACCCCTGGAGGCTGTATTAGTCTTGTTCCATTCAGCCTCAAGGGGCAGAACTAGGAGCAGTGAGGCAAAGCCCAAAGAGAAAAATGTGGCTCTGTTGTCAGAAATAAATTTCTCACCAACCAGAGCAGTCTGAAAATGGAAAGGGCTGCCTGGAGAGGTGCTGGCTTCCCCCTTTCCAAGGTCTTTAATCAGAGGCTGGAGGACCACTTGTTGGCTATGTTATGCTGGGGTTCTATTCAGGGATGGGCTGGCCTAGATGGCTGCTGGGGCCCAATCCAACTTGAATTCTGGGATTCTATTTCCTCCAAAGTCATTTCCTATCACAACTGCAGAAGTTTCAGAGGCATATGTCATTGTCTTCAAAAACAGAAACAGAATGATGTTAACTTTTGGGAAAGATTTTATTCAGAAATCTTTAAAGCTTCTTAGAAGGGAAAGATTGATTTGACGCCTGTTCAAATGCCCAGGTACCTCTGAGAGAAAAATCAACATTAGTTTAGCCTCTTCTTGAACCAAAATAACATCAGTTCTTCTCCACTGAGGTTTCACATCATAGGGTGGCCTGTGAAACAAAGGAATATTATTTTGTCTGTGAAGAAAAAATAGTGTACTCCGTCTCTTCTTCTCCCAGATCACAGGGGACTGACCATTTTCACTTGCATTTTAGCCCTCCTTTAGCACTTTGCAACCCAGTTCCAACTTCAACAATTCTCCTTCATCAACCCTGTATCTTTAAAATTTCAGACAACCATGTGCCTTGTGTGTTATGGAAATGTGTACATGTTTAGGGAAAGTGTGTTCCATTTGAATGACGTATTTCATTTTTTTCTCTAGACAGATCAATACTGATAGCCCATGCAATTCACTCGAGTGACCTGTGAATATCAGGAAATAACTATAGGATTTCTGTGAGAGAAGCAAGCATTTTTTTCCTTGTTAGTTCTAATTGACTTGACTTGATTTCTTGTATTTTAGGTTGGATCACCTATGATGATTTAGCAAGACAAATGGTGAACAAACTTGATGCTGTGGTCATATCAACTAAGTAAGAATGATTTAAGTTTTAGGCCAGATCTGTTAAGACAAAGGGTCCATCACCTTCCATGGTTATGTTTTGTTTTTAATACCTCGCAACTGCTTCCAAGCAGTGTGGTGTGTGGATTGAGGGACTTGGGGTGGGGGGGGCTGGAGTCAGGAAGACCCAAGTAGAGCCTCCTGCCTTGGGTAAGTCGCTTAATGGCCACAGATAAGAACTAGACTGCCAGATCGGGTCAAATCACTTATCAGATGTTCCAGCAGGGAAAAGATCAACCAACTTGAGAAAGATTAGGCTAAAGGTCCAAGAGCCACCAAGTGGTCAATTCTTTAATCCAATCTAATTCAATTTGACTCAACATCTGGTGGCTCAGAGTATAGGAGGAATAAGAATGAGACCTGCTGTCATGCAAGGAAGAGGAGGTAGGGAAGCTGGAAGAGTATGGGTAGGGAGCAGATGATTCCTTGAATTAGCCAAAACCCTTTTATTCACTATGACTTGACAGACCTATGAATTGGAAGGAGACTTCTCAATATTTAGCAGATGATTTCAATGAGTCCTCAAGGTACAGACTGACAAATCCCTTCTATTATCTGGGGTTCCACTTCCTCAATTACAAAATGAGAAAATTGGACTAGATGGCACTTTTAAGGCCTCTTCCAGTTATTATGCTTCGTCCACAATCCAGGAACTGATTGCTGGATGAGGAAGTGGCAACCTGAAACCAGCTGAGATCTGGAATGACTCTGAGATCTATGAATAAAATGATTGTATAACTGAAAAGTTTTAAGTAGCTCTCATGATGACTAAAGCAAATGAAATTAGCCAAAAATGATAAAGGCAAACTTTTAAAAATTAAATCAACTGTTGCTTTTTTTATTGGACAGGTCCTTGCAAAGTATTCTAATTGTCTCATGTCTGTAGGTACATAATTGAATTTATTTGCTTTCCATAATGTGTTCAATGGTAAAACAAAAAAACAAAAACTGAACAATCATGTGCATGAGAGACTTTATATGATGAAAAGATGATTTTATTTATAGCTTTTATAAAAATTTAAATAAGATCAAATCAGTTTTTTCCCCCTAGGGCTTGTCATTTCAGTCAGGAAACTACCAAAGTAGCCCAAGGTCACAAACAGTATGGGTTAGAGATAGCGCTTGAACCCAGATATTCATCCTGTAGACTTGCTGCTTTTTAGAAGTCTTTGATAAGGCTATGGCAGGGTGTAATTATTTGGACTTAATACACAACCCAACATCATCCCTCATTCAATTTATCATCAAATATGTGAAACACTAGCCATCTACTCAGTGTGGTGTTAGCACAATGGGTGGAGGGAGGGGGAGAAGAGATAAAGTCAACGGGACAAACAGATGGGTCAATGAAAAGGACACCCCCAAAAGTGTGAAAACAAACCATGGCAGGTTTCAAAGCCAAATGCACCATCACCATCCCACTTGTTAAATAATCATCAGTCGTGATCCTGCGTGTTCCACACTCTGAGGTGTTATGGGCAATGACTACAAAAACTCAGCTTTTCAAGACCATGTTTCAATATACAATATGGAAGTAAAGCTTTTTCTTTATGCAAATGATTCAAAAAACCATTAAAAACCCACATATACATAATGTTGCTTCTAAGTAAAAAAAAAAAAGAAATCTCACATAGCATATGCCTTTAGTATTTATCTAGAACTCCTCATATTATTCAATAAATATTTTGTTTTTCTCCAAAAAGCTACAGATTATCCCCCCAGTATCACTTTCCAACTCAATTTGAAGATGTCTATGATGCCTTAAGGTGGTTCTTGAGAAAGAAAGTCCTTGAAGAGTACGGTGTGGACCCTGCCCGTATCTGTGTTGCTGGAGACAGTGCTGGTGGGAATTTAGCTGCAGGCACCACTCAGAAGGTATTAGATGAATATTTCTCCGGTTTTTAAACTTAATATTCTTTTCAACATCATGTTTAAAATGAAAATGTAAGTGGGATAATTTCACCTTGAGAATGCTATAGGGATGATCAGGTAGAATGAATCTATTTTCCCCCCTCCTGTTAGATTGACTTCTTTTCTTACTAAAAGGATATGGCAATGTCACGGAGGGCAGTGACTTTAGAATGCTCTACCCATGCAGCATAATAGGAATGACCTTTTAGTTCAGTGACACAATCAGGTGGATGATAAAAAGAATTCCTCAGGATGTTTGAAACCCCAAACCCTAACCCTTCCATCCCCAAAGGTACGAAACCTGATGGAACCAACTCACTCACTTCCCAAGACCGTGTTACGTTTGTCTTTCTGCTAGAGGTTCTCACTATGAGTGTGGTCAAAGGAAAGCTGATTTCTCTGTTTAATAAGTTGAAAAGCCACAGAAGTGTTGTTCCACACCTTCCTAAAAATGATGAGTTTCCACATATGATGAGGAAGGGGAATATGCAAGAAGGAACTGAGAAAGAAAAATATTCTAAGGAGGTGGGAGGGAGCCATAATCAAGGTCAGGTGGTTGGCAAGCAGACACGATGGAGAAAAATGGAAACACAAAGAAATCTTAAGCAATGGGCATTCTAAGGAGGAAGCAGTACTTCTGCTTCATGGAAAAATGAGGATCCAGAGGCTGCATTGAGAGGAAAACCATCATTGATCCCAAGCACAGGAGACATTGTGATGGTGGATGACTCCACTTTATGGAGTCATAGGACCTTGGTTCAAACTGAACTCTGATGTGTACTACCTGTGTGACCTTCCTGAATCACTTTAACATCCTAAGCCTCAGTTTCCTCATCTATCTTATCTATTTTCTAGCTTTATATTTATGAATTTATGGATTAATTTTTAAAAATGGAGTCAAGCTTGGAATGTTGAAATGTAAAGAAGTATTTTATGAACTTAGCATACCCTTGAATGTCTACAAGGAACTGGTTTCCTAGATGTTCAGGGATGGAGATGCCCTCCTTCATCCTTCTTATTGGATTCTAGGTATGTAATCCACACAGTTTCCTATATCAGGGTTCTTTGCCTCCCTCAGTAACAATACTTGATGAATTCTTATGTGAACTCAGCTCAGATAATCTCTTTCCATGACAGCCCTACTTTGCCTTGGATGCAAAACCTATGTTAGTTACTCTTGTCACAAGGAGTCTGTGCTGGCCCAGTACATTGTCCTTGAGGTGACCTTAAACTGATTAGTGGGAGAAGAAGACCCACACACAAAGAGGGATGGACAGACAGAGATAGAGGAACAGAGAGATAGAGACAAAGTCAGAGATGGGCACTTCCCTACAGTCCTGTGTGACAAGAAGATAATCAGCCACTTTTATGTTTCTTTTTACTTATAAAGGAGAATAACATTAGGACAAAAAAGGAAAGAAGAAATATTACTGAGAAAACCAAGAGGCTGAGACACCGAGTAAGCCATTTTCCATCTTTGGACCTTAATGTTCCCATCTGTTGATGATGGGGTTAGACTAGATGTTCTCACTGGGCCCTACCACCTAATAAGCTATGAATTCTAATTAACACATTGTGAGTTTTTTCCCTAGCTCCTAGATGACCCAGAAGTCAAGATTAAAGTCAAGATTCAGTCTTTAATTTATCCTGCTCTTCAGACTCTTGATATGGATTTACCCTCATATCGAGAAAATGCATATATACCCATCCTGCTAAAATATGACATGGTTTTGTTTTGGAGCCTGTATTTCACCTCAGACAAGGTGCTAAGGGAAGCCATGCTTGCTAACCAACATACACCTGTGGAATCAAACCATCTCTTCAAGTTTGTGAACTGGAGTACCCTACTTCCTGAGAGGTTTCAAAAAGGACATCTTTATACCAGCCCAATGCATGGACCCGCTGACCTTGCAAAAAAGTTCCCTGGATTTCTAGATGTCAGAGCATCCTCCCTATTAGCTGATGATTCCAAGTTACAGGGTTTACCCTTGACCCATATCCTCACCTGTCAGTATGATGTCTTAAGAGATGATGGGCTCATGTACGTCTCCCGCCTTAGGGCTGCAGGGGTCCAGGTAGTCCATGAACATGTGGAAGATGGGTTCCATGGAATCCTGTCATTCAGTATGAGTTTTAAAGCAGGCCAAAGAGAACTTAACAAGTATCTGAAATGGCTAGAGGAGAATCTCTAGTGGTAATTCAGCTGTTCCATTCCACCAAGAGCCAGTTCTTTGTGTGTGCAAGTCATAGTATTGGCTGCTGGCAGGGATGGACTGGGGTGGGAGTAGGGGTTAGTAACTGAACGAAGACATGGTTCTGACTGCCTGGACATAAGATTTATGCACAAATAGCTGCAATACAAGCTGAAGTGAAGGGGAGAGAACATGCATTGACGTATTACCAAGTCAAATGTCCTAAGTGTTTAGGAGAAGTCAAACCAGGTGAGATGGGGGTCCAGAGGATGATCAGTGAAGCTCCTCTCTCTGCCCTGAGCACCCAGCCTATGCTCCCAACTGCCTACTGCACATGACAACTTGGATGCCCAAAGAAGAAAATGTAAACAGATCCTGCCAAGCTTAAAACATTGTATGAGTGTCAGTGATTATTGTTGCAGTGGTGATTTTTATTATTACCGGCACCTCCAACCCAACAGGTCCCAAAGTGGAGTCATTGTTCTCTTTTCTGTAAGTCTGCACAACCTTCCACCATCCCTGGATGCCCATCAGCTTTGAAACTTGCCGGTCAGGTTTGGCTCTTCTTTCTCCTTCCTCCCCCATCCAAGCAGTTGCCCAGTTCTGCTGATTCTGCCTCCTCATCTCTCCCGCCCAGCTCCTCCTCCCTTACTTCCCTACCACCACTCTAGGCCAGTCCTTCATTGACTTCCATTTGGACTGCTGCTATGCCTTCCCTGCTAATTTCTCTGCCTCCAGCCCTCCTTTCTCCAATACATCCTTGCTGGTGCTGCCATCTTATTTTTTCAATGTACTTGAATAAAGACATCATTGTCTTTTTCAAAGAGGCAACATTTTCCTGTTCAGGGGAGGAGATAACTTTCACCAGGCTGTTGTAAGCTTATCAAGACTTTCCAAAACAGGTTTGCATAGCCAGGCCTTAGGCCTGTAGATTGAAGAACTTTGCTAATCAAGTTGCAAACATTGCCCTTTGGTTATAATTGGACTTTGATTCTCCTGACTTTTTGACCACTCAGTCTGCCTTGTTAATTCTTCATCCATTTTGCTACCTTCTAATCAGCATTATGCTGGTAAATGTTTAATAACTAGATCTTTGAAAATACAGCTGGCATTCCTCTAAGTATAATCTGCATTATTAACATCCATCTGGACCTAGACAATCAACAAAACAGTAAATCACACCTTGATTTGTAGTGTTTGCCAATTTCCAAAGTGCAAATGCTCACTTAAAGTTGAACAATTCTTAGGTTTGAGCTGGTTTCCAGGACATCCCTTCCTATACTCATGGTTGACCCTCAATAGTTTGCTCTCCCCTCCCATCCTCTTCTCTCCTCCTCTCTCTTCCCCTTCCCTCCCCTCTTCTCCTTTTTCCTGTCTTCATCTGGTATCACCACTCCACCAGTGGCACCAAAATCTTTAGTCCAGTCTTAATCTCTCTCTAGAATTCCAGATGTTTTTCCCTGCTGCCTGCTGGAAATCTCAACTTGCGTGTCCTCTCAACACTTCAGTGTGTCCAAAGCTGAACTCTTATCTTCCTTCTCTGAAACTGTCCCATTCTATAACTGCGTCACCTCTGATGCTTTGTCCATGTTGACCTCTCACAAGTAATACTGTCTCACATATGTCCCACAGCATGTCTCACATTTGTCCTCTTTTCTCCACTCCCATAGCCACCGCCCAATAGCTTAGGCACTTATCACTTCTCACCTGAGCTACTGTCACAGCCTCCTAATTGGTTACTCTCCTTTCAGTTTCTCCCCCTCTCAAACACATGCTGACAAAATTGTATAGAGCTGACAAAATTATATTCTGAAAAAGCACATCAATTTTTTGGTCCTCTCTTTTCCTTATATGCTGAATTTGCTTCTGAATGGCTCACTTCTGCTCAAAATCCTTCATTGGTTCCCTAGTACCTTCAGGACAAACTGCCTCAGCCTGATCTTTAATGCTTTCTGTCATTTTCACATTGGCCACGTCCAAAAAAATTGTCTCATTCTGCACTCTGAGTCCTTCAACTCTATCAGGAGGCAAATAGTATGTTTCATTCTTCATCACCAAAATCTTAGTTGATCTTTATGCCTATAAGTTTAGCATGATAATATTCCATTGTATTTATATGACATAACTTGTTTATCCATTACCAATTTATGGGCATCCTCTCAGGTTCTTATCTTTTGCTTCTTTAAAAGAGCTACAGATATTTTTTTACGTTCTTAGATTTTGTTTTGCTTAGGACTAATTGCTCTCTACATCTTGTTGTGCAGTCCTGTCTGCCTCTTTGTGACCCCATAGACCACAGTTCACCAATACTGAACATTTTCTTGGCAAAGATACTGGAGTGGTTTGCCACTTCCTTCCCCAGCTAATTTTACAGATGAGGAAACTGAGGCACACAAGGTTAAGTGACTTGCCCAGGGTCACATAGGTAGTAAATGTCTGAGACCAGATTTGAACTCAGGAAGATGAGTCTTCCTGACTCCAGGCCTGGCACTCTATTCACTGCACCATCTAGCTTCCCATCATATGAGATAATTTTCCCTAGCCTTCCTTTCCCTCCTCCATCCCACCCTCCTTTTCTTCTTCTTTCTATTCTTTTCTTAAGGTGATCAAGACATAGCAGAACCACCCCTAGGCTTTATCTAATAGGACTCCTTCTATTAACTCTGATGATGCTAGGGATCAAAGAGGGGCACACGTATCATTTCCCCATATGTAAATGTAAGCAGTTGATCCTTATGTAATCCCTCTTCATTATTCATTCATGTCTATCTTTTTATGTTTTTCTTCATGTGTTTGAACTTCAAAGTTTCTCTGCAGTTCTCATTAGGAACACTTAGAAGTTCCTTAGAACAAATGCACTCATTAAAGATCCATTTCCTCCACCCCTGATAGCATCACACTCGGCTTTGTAGGTCAGTTGTTGTTGGCTGTAAGCCCATAACCTTTGCCTTCTGGAATATACATATTCCAAATTCTCTGCTCCTTTGTACCGGTGGTCGTTAAATCTTGTATGATCCTGACTGTGGCTCTTCAGCACTTGTATTCTTTCTTTTGGGTAGCTTGCTGTATTTTTTCTTTAACCTCTAAACTCCGGCTTTTGATTGTGATATTGCTGGGAGTTTTCATTTTGGGGTTTCTTTCAGGAGATAACCTGTAGATTCTTTCAATTTCCACTTTGTCCTATGGTTCTAAAATATCTGGACAGTTTTCTTTTTAAGATTTCTTGGAATATGATGTCTAGGCTGTATTTTTGGCTGTGGCATTCAAATAGTCTAATGATTCTTTAATTTTTTTCTCCTTCATCAGTTATTCTTGTTATGAGATACCTTGTGTTTTCTTCTATTTATTTCTGCCTTTTGACTTTTTTTTGCCTCAAAATTCATTGGCTTCTATTTGGTCCATTTGAATTTTCAGGGAGTTTGTTCCTTGGGCAAGGTTTTGTATCTCTTGTGCCAAGCTGTTAACTTCTCTCCCAATTGTCTTCATAGCTCTCATTTCTTTTCCAATTTTCATCAAGCTATTTTATTCCATTATAAAAAAATCCCAAAACTTTTGCTTCATCTCTTCTAGGAATTCTAGCTGTATTTTCATCTGAGGCTTTTGTTCTCCATTTGTGTCTTGAGTGTCCCTGCCACCATTGGCTCCAAGCTCCTTATGGTGGGGGTCTTTCTTTGTTCATCCTTTCAGCTTATCTCCTGACACTGGACTTGATGTCAAGGCTTTGCTCTACATCACTTCTGCTTATTTATTTATTTATTGCTTTGTTTTGTTTTGTTTTGTTTTGGCTAGGCAATGGGGTTAAGTGACTTGCCCAAGGTCACACAGCTAGTAAGTGTGGATTTGAACTCAGGTCCTCCTGAATCCAGGGCCTGTGCTCTATCCACTGTGCCACCTAGCTGTTCCTCTATAGCACTTCTGGAGGGAACATCTGGGCTGCCTTCCATTGCCCTGGGACTGGGTAGTGGGCAACAAAGCTTCCTATCTGTCCTAGTTGCAAGGCCCCGTTATGGGTCTGGGGGTGGTCTGCTCTGGATCCAGAACCTCCTTTTGCCCTGGCACACAGCCTCTCCCTGGGCACTGGAGTGCTTAGAGCCAGGCATGATCCTGGGCTGACCCCACCTCAGTGTCAACAGACCTCTCTTCCTGTCTCCTTTGGCGGACTTATCGTGACTTTTTCTGGTTTTCACCATTAGGATTTAAGCTGGTGCATTTTCTAGACCTATTTGAAGAAGTTTGTGGAGCAGAGCTTACTCTACTCCATTATCTTGGCTCTGCTTTCACTGTCACTTTCCAAATAAAATGTACCCCTCCAAATGCACCATATGTCTGTCTGTGTCACCTACCCCATTAGAATGTAAACTTCTTGACTTCAGGATTGGCCTTTTAAAAAAGATTTTATTTTTTCCATTTAAAAATTTTGTACTTATGGGTCTGTTACTTTGATCTTCTTAGGATATAGGCCTAACAGTAATGTCTCTGGGCAAACAGAGCTCCTGATTTTTAGGGAATAGTTCCAAATTGCTTTCCACCGTAGCAAGACAAATCCACAGCTACACCAGCAGGATATCAACAGGCTTGTTTCCATGCAGTCTTGTTAACATTTCTCATGTTCCTTCTTTGTCAACTTTGTTAGTCTGAAGGGTGTGAGGTAGAACCTCAGGATGATTTAATTCACATTTCTCTATCAGTGTTTTGGAACAAAATTTTTATATGGTTATTTGTATGTTGGCTTTCTTCCTTTGGAAACGCCCTGTCTATATCCTTTGACCAATTGTTTATTGGAGGATGTCTCTTAGTCCTGTAAGGTCCTTTTATATCTTGGAAATGAGACCTTGTTGGACAAACTGACAAATAATTTCTACCAAGGTAACTGATCCAATGGACTGTCTGTCTTTATTTCTGTATCTATGCCCCCAACAAACCATAGTGCTTGGCACATAGCAAATACGTGCTTAATAACTTCTGTATCGTTCTTTCATTCCTTCATTCCAACAGCCAGTAATTAATTCTTGAGGACTGCCACATTTCCTACCAAGCAAAGCAAAAGGTGTAACAAAGCCCTGAAGCTTTAATTTATTCCATTGGTCCCCTAGATTCTTTATGCCTCTAACTAGATGTGGTTTGTCTTAAAATAAACTTTGATTTCATGAATCTTTTCTTTTGAAAACATATTTTGATATTATAAAATTAATTTACATAGTCTCCAAAATAGGGCCTTACAATCATGGAGCAGTGAATAGTTCATGGGCCAGCTGGGCCACCTTGCCAGAAAGGTAACTCACTTCATTCCACGTCAATTCAACAGTCATTTACTGAGTTCTTGCAGGGCATTGTACTAGACTTGCTGGGGCTACAGAGACAAACATGTTAAAAGTCTCTGGCCTCAAAGAGTTTGCATTTAACACTCAGAG